CCCACCGCCATAATCATCTGGTATGTGATGTAGCCGGAGCAAACCGCCATCACAACACTCTGGAGCGTGGGGTTTGAGCCGCCAGCAGTGGACAGGACGACCATCACCATCTTGGAGGAAGAAATTGAGGGTTAGGGGGATGTAAGGGGAGTTTGGCACGAGCGTACGCTGGTTACTGGCACCTGTGATCGTGTGCGGCCCGCAAAACCCAGTGACATAGCGTGGTGGCGTGAGCATGCCACGCCTCGGATGGAGAGGAGACCCGGGCATCGGCACACATAGCAGAGCCGTCGGGCTGGCTGTATCACCTTGAGCGCGAGTGTTGTGAGGTTGGTGATGGCGGCGGGTGTGGCTAGCATGTTACGCGTCAAGGGGTTGAGGTCGCAGTCCCCCACTGACTGCGCAGTACGGGGGGGCAGAGTGTCAGGGAGTGGATTACGACAAACATTGGGGTGCAGGACAGACTACGGGGCTCTGAACAGACACATGCAGGAACAGTGGAGGATAACTAGCAAGTGCGACGGTGCGTGCAGGACATTCCGTCCTGCGCCTCTCCAATGCCCCCCCCCTCCGTTACCCATCCCCCGCGCCCAGCCAGCCCACCAGCCCGAGGCATGTGGCCATGAAGGTCAGGGTGACCACCACGGCAAAGGCCATGTGCGCCAGGTGGGGCATGGCCACGCAGGACTTCTCAAAGACCATGTGTGTCACGCTAGAGATCACAGACACCTCGTCCCAGTGGCATGCGAACCTGCATTGCATAATTTGAGAGGTATTGTTACCCGGTCCTCTGTGGGACTGGCTCAGAAATCATTGGCTACGCATTGTTAGCACCCTCAGCAATAGCCGCTTAATCAGGACCCCGGCAGTACAATTGCCTCTAACTGGCTCCACACATGCCAGGTCGACCAATTGCTGTGTCGAGGCAAAACAAACCAACTGCATGTGTCACCCTGTATGACCTCCCCCCTCACATGAAAACCAGGAAATCCAGGATGCTGCGTGGTAGTGTGCATGTGGTTGCGTTTGTAGGTCATAAGGGCACGGTAAGAAAGGACTGCATCGCAACCAGATTGGCATGCCAGCGGCACAAGGTGTAGTCGCAGTCGCGCAGCCGATATCGCACGCTTGTGCACATGCACGCCATATTGGAGATTGCCCTAATGCTTTTGGCACCAATCGAGCGATTGGCTCCTGTCATCCCCTGCAGCCCATGAGCCTCACCTGACCCATGCCACGCTGTACATGATCATTGCCAGCAGCTGCATGAACTGCACCAGCCTGAGGAGGGTGAGGATGTGTGGGGTGCATGAAAATGCAAAGGTGGCTGCTATATACAGGCATGCACGACAGCAATGACCGCAGCTGTCTGACCCTGCTCAAGCTGTCCCTTTTCCCTCAGGCTGACCCTTTTCCCAGTGCCTGCTGCACCTGGCCAACCAGCCTCCTGTGGTGCTGTCATCTTTTTTAAGCACCTGCATGTGCAAGTGATGTGTGTATGTGTGTGACAGGCGAGAGGCACAGGAGTTTGAGATGGATGTTGCAGCAATGGCAGCTGGTGGGGAGCGCGTGTGCGCAGCATGATACCTGGCGCTCCTGGTGATAGTGGCCCCGCTCCTGGTCGTTGCCTTGCTCGCACCCTCTGTGCCCCACACCTACAAACTCCCTCCCTCTGGGATGGGCCAGATGCTGTGCTGCCGTCCCCCTGATCCTGCCGGCCGCAGTGCCCAGCTCCTTTGCCCACCACTGCGACATATGCTGTCAATGCGAGGGACAGGAAAATGGTGGCTGCGATGATGTAGAACACCACGATCTTCAGTCGTTTGGCAATGTGTGTGTGTGTGTGTGTGCGGGGGGTGGGTTCAGGAGTTGAGGCTGGGTGATAAAATGAGGCCAGATCAGGAGAGGGATGGGGCGTGAGTAGCAGGCAGCAAGTGGTGCAAGCAGTTAGCGCAGCCAGCCCACTGGTATTTGAAATCTCGCAAGGATGCAGAAAATTGCCCTGTGCCCGTCCCGCATTTGCATTTGCACACCTGATCCCCTGTTGAGCATGCACCCCTTGCAATGTCGATATTGCGCAACCCAGCCCCCACTCCATTGACCCCACCCCGTATCTCACGTAGGTGTTGTATCCCTTTGGCAGCACCAGAAATCGGAACAGCACCCAGCGTATGGCCTTGAACGCCGCCAGATCCGTGTGGACCAGCCACCTGGCGGCGGCAACCGCGCGGGGCAGTGCGGGCAGGGTAAGGGCGTTGCTTGGGTGTGGTGGCAGGCCTCAAGGGGCGGGGTCCAAGCATGCAGATCCAGCGGGGCTTTACCAGCCTGCATCTGTGTGTTTGCCGTTAGTCTCTCTGTCCCCACCCTGGTCCTTGGTAAATGCCCTCCCTAGGCCGCTGCATGCGCTCTCATGCTGACAGCAGTGTGTGGCTTGCCCCCTGCCCCCTGTGCGCGCCTGTGGCCACACAGAAACCGCAATGCTTTGCGCCTGCCAAACAAAGCCGCATTAGCATACCCGTGCCTCAGCCATTTGTGGAGAGCACAGCCTGCAGCCAACCCGTGGTCAGACCCCTCGTCATAAACAGGCCCGCTTGCAGGTGCAGCCACCTAGCAGCCCCACCTACACCCAATGCCCCTATTCAGGGCCTGCACGACGGCTCACAAGAACTGCGTGTTGAACACGACGCGGAACATTTGCAGGAACTCCAGCACAATCCGCAGCACCACCCATCGCAGGTCCTGCTGGCTGCGGTTCTTGCCCAGCAGTACCAGCGTTGCAAAGATCTGGGGTGTGGCCAAGGGTGGGGATGGCAAGCACGATTGAGAGGGCTTGCACCTGAACGCATGCATCTGTGTGCATGTGCACGTGCGTGTGCGGGTGTGTGTTTATGTGCCTGCATGCATGTGTATGTGTGTGTATGCGCGCATGCACATGTGTGCATGTGTGTGTGCATGTGTGTGGATGTGTGTGTGTGCATGTGTGGGAATGTGTGTGTGAGTGTGTGTGCATGTGTGTGTGTGTGTGTGTGTGTGTGTGTGTGTGTGCATGCGCATGGGTGCATGCGAATGTGTGCGTGTGTGCACAAGCGTGCGAGTGTATGTGCTTGTTTCTTGTCTGCAAATGTGCGTGCATGCATGCATTCATGTTGGGCAATGCCCGAGTGGGGTAGGTTAGCAGATTGCGGATGGGGCCAAAAAGCGCATGCAGTGATGCTGCGTCGCTGGAAGGGCCATCCGTGTGGCCGGGCAATGCGATGCCATGCGCTCACTGCCTCGGACACCCCACGATTGCTCGACATGGAGTCATTGATGTTCTCGCCGTCGCCATCAGCCCTGTGGGGTAGTCAGGGCAAGTGGATCAGTTAACAGTCAGTCGGCAGGAAAGTAGGCGCAAGACAAGACAGATGCGCAGCGCTAAGTACACGCATGTGCCCCGCCTGGTAGCACCTCGCCCTGGCGTCTCTTACTGGCTGGTGCCGCTGCACCGACACTCACGCACGGTCTTGGAGCGCATTTAGCGCCTGGGCGTCTGAAGTGTCGCTGGCTGCACTGGAGGCCCCAGTGCTGAAGCTGTTGCGCGAGCTGTCCCCAGATTCACTCATTCTTCAGCTCTGATGCCTGACACTCCTTAGATAAGGTCCGGTTGGGTGTTTCAGGTCTTGCGCCTTCTTTTCGCTGAAGCCAGCGCACGCAGTTCCTGTCGGTGACTCCTCAAACCATATTTTGTTTGAAACTGGATTTGATCATTGTCAGCGTTCCACGAGGCCGCCTCTGCTTGGCATGATCACGAGATCGCTGCGCAGTCCATGAACTTTCTAGCAAGAAATGACGCTAATATCTGCCGAACTTTTCTCCCGCACCACAAAACAAGTATGGCAGGGTCCCAGCACAAGCGCCAAGTGCATTTGCGCTGCTGGTCAAGCGCCTCTGCTGGTCAAGTACTGTGGATGGTCCAGTGCCCCTGCTGGTCAAGTCTCAAGTGCCGCCAACTGCACAACTACATCGTGCTGTTTCATGTGACATCGGTAACTCTGCTATACATCTCTACCAGGGCAAGACCTTGGCTCATCAAAAATAGGGAGGATACCACCAGCAGAGCGTGCTCCAGCGCGTTCAGTTGTGCCTCAGTGCATCGTGCTGGCAGGCTGGGAGAGGCGGATGGCTGTTGTTTAGCTGCAGCCTTCCTAATTTTGGCTCGCGAGCTCATGTGATATTCTGTGTCGCTCAACTTGGAGTTCTGACGAGAGGAAAGTTGTTGCGATGGTGGTCACTCAGCGACAAAGCGCTGGAAAGGACATCCACAGTGAAGGCCACAGGCCGTGTGTGGGAGGTGCACGAAAGTAAGCACACCATGCAAGACATACTGAATCTGAGGCACGCCTGGCCATGGTCCCTGGCCTTCTCATGGGCACAGCCAGGTTGCGACCACCTGCAGCCGTGCTTCTCAGTCCACCCCCACAGGTGGGACTTATCACTTACTCTTGTGTAATCCGTTCTGCAGGTGGGACGTATTTTACTAAATAAATAAAAAGCATGTCAAAGGGCGTTGTAGCGTTTGGTTTATTTCACATGACTCATTCAAGCAGCACGCCCACACCCTGCGGTACTGCTAGGCACCGAGAAACATCTGCCTGTTTGAAGGCATAGCTCGATGAAGCAAAGCATAATACGGTGCTTGCAGCATGCTGACGATGCTGTGCGGGGCAGTGTGTGGGCCTCTAGTGCATGCAAAGCTCGTGGATTTGGAAGCCGATGGGAACAAGGTCTTCCAAAGAACATGATAGCACGTATGGAGTGCCTTGACATATTGTCGTTACCTTGATTGCATGCCTCAGAGCTCGCGCCAGCTCTTGCTCGTGTCTGGGCGGTCCATCCTTGCCGCTATCTCACCCTTCTTGCTCCACAGTCCGAATTGGTGCTACTGGTACGGCCCCCTTGGCACAATCGCCAATGTAGAAACATAGCAGCACAACTCGATTGTCAAAGAGCTTTATGGTTCAACTCGTCATGTCACGCTCGTCCCCTCCCTCGATGCGCTTTGCCACTGCACACCAGCTATCAGAGCTTGAACTGCCTGTGATGATGTGGCGGGCGGCCTGCACTGACGCCAAGCCCGAAGATTCATGATGATTCGCATGTTAAGCGGTAAGATTTATAGTATTTGATTGCGCATGGTAGGCTGGTGGTCGCTTGGGCGAAGAAGTTACCTCCGCGTAGAACCCCACCCGAGGGCCGATCAGACAACGCCACGCGCATCCCATGCACGATCACCACATCCAAACCGGTCAGTGTGGTCATCCATCGTCTTTCCAGCCCCACAAGCACCAACACAGCAACCACGATGATGATGCGGGCGCCCCTCAACGTGCAGGCCAAGCTTGGCAAGGGCACGGCCAGCACCAAGAAGCTGGGCGGAACAAGCTCCCGCAAGGGTGGTGTGGGCTACAGGTGCGTCGCCTCGCGTTTCCGCAGGTCGCGGCAAGCGACACCGGCACTCTGCAGCATCTGCTCTCGGGGCCAGCCGGGAAGCCCATTGTCTGCCCGGGACATGTTCGTTGCTCTTTTTATGCAGCTTCCGGAAGCCTGCGGCCCTCAGGACCCCTATGGGCCGCACGGCGCGGCCCACGGTCCCGGACCCTTTACGATCTCCTGATCATCGCTCTGACCGTCTAGCATAAAGCCTGAACCGATTGTTTTGTATTGGCATACATTCTGGGTGCTACCATCTTGCAGTGAGCGCACAGACGCCGACCTGCCCGCCACCTTGGCCTTGCTCAGTACCTGGCGCTTGCCTGCGTCTCCCGCTCCTTGCGCACAACCATTGCCATCGTCGCTGTGTGCCTGTAGGAAGTACGATGGCGACGCCCTGTGGCTGCCCAACACCTCTCGCCCCGCGTGGCTGGACGGCTCGCTGCCCGGCGACCGCGGCTTCGACCCCCTGGGCCTGTCCAAGCCCGCGGGCTTTGTCCAGATCGCGGTTGATGACAACGACATCAACGCCGCCAAGAACTTCAAGGGTGACGTGGAGGGCGCTGCCGCGGTGGTGACCGACCAGGTCAGCGAGGTCGCGCTGTCCCCCTACAGCGAGGTCTTCGGCCTGCAGCGCTTCCGCGAGACCGAGCTGATCCACGGCCGCTGGGCCATGCTCGGCGTGCTGGGCGCGCTCGTGGCTGAGGGCGCCACTGGTGTCAAGTGGTGAGTGCGGAAACGGCGATGATGGCCCTTGCGAGGCGAGCCGCTCTGGGAGCTGAGGTGCATTCGTCCTTTCACGGAACCCGCACGGTGGCATGTTGGGTCGACTTGGGCTTTTTTGAGCTGCGCCCAGCATCCTCTGCAGCTCGCCGTACCTCTCTGTATGCGTGTCAGGCCATTACTCATGCGCTCCATGGGCCAGCACGCGCTGGGTCCTGCACAGCCTCGCTGTCCTGATGGTGCAAGCCCCTCTCATCCCCTTCTCCCCCCCCCCC